GTCTTTTCGCACTGGAGAGGTGGATTGTCTTCTCTTCTGTTTGTGCTTTGAATCGGATTTCAAGAGACGCTTGGCGCGACGGAGCTGGAAGCATTTTAGGACTGAGTGGCCAGGTTTGTCGCAGAGTTCGCAAGTGATGATGGATGTGTCGGTCTCCGAGCTTGTGCTAGCCTTACGCTGGCGATGAGGTGGGACATATTTCTTTCCTTTTGCAAGGTGTGCCGAGTCTCCAGAGGTCTGGATCTCTGCCTCTTTGACCTGTAGATGCTTGATCTTATCGTCAATGCTTAGAGTAGAACTGACGACACGGATCATATCAATGATGACTTTGTACTCATCAGGGAGAGACAAGGTCAGGCTTTGAAAGAGTGATTTATCTGTACACAAAGCACCGGCTGAAGCATCCGCAGATAAGAGCTTTCGTCGAAGATCCTTGAGCTTATCCCATGCACCTATAATAGTCATATCAGGGGTATCGTCGAAAGAGAAGGTCTTGATCTTGAGGAGGTACTCGTCTGCTGCGATATCATCGATTCTGGAGTATTTGACGGCTAGATAATCCCAAAGTTTCTTTGCTGTATCATATTCGTCCACTAAAGCCTCATCATCGTCAGATAATGAGCGACAGATGTAAGATAATGCACTAGCGTCGTCCTTAAGAAAGGTGGCCTTTTTGTCGATATTGAGTCGAATCTTTGTAGTGGTACTGCCGCTGCCGCTGGAGACTTGAAGTTCTTCGAAATCCTGGATTAAGTTGTCGGCTGCTGCAATCCGTGCATATTCATGCAATGTCTTTTCGCATGTATAGAACCAACCTTTTCCTCGAAGTTGAATTCTTATTTGACGAGTCCAGCGTTCGTGATTCTCTTGAGTGAGAGGAGGGATGCGCTTGGAGTAATCCTTGGATCCAGTGTCTTCGTTCATTTTGAAGGTTCTGCAAGTAGAAAGCTTGCGTCGATGACCTAGGCGTGATTGATGGTGGAATGAAAGAGTGGAAGAGGAACTGTTTAAGACTGCGCTGTCCCGATTGGGATGTACTAGTGTTTGAAGGGAGAAATTCTCTTCAAGGCGGGGTAATTAAGAATAGTGAATTTTGATTTGTAGATAATGATTTTTGAAGTGATATCGAACACTATGTAGCAGGTGATGCTCTTCAGCGTTAAGCTGGAATGAATGGTCTTTTCAGTAATAACTCGTAGTTTTCTTACTTGAGGAAAAGGCGCGATGTAAGTGGTTACTTCGCTGTCGCTGCTCAGCAATCTGTTTGCTGTGCGCACCTCGTATGTTGACGTCGCGTTGCGTAGGAGCTTCTCGTCGTCAACCTCTCCTTTGGCAACGTAAGCTATTCAAAGAGCTTTCGGCCTTAGTCTTACTGCAGAGCTACCGGGCTCATAACCTGTTCACAATAAAGGAGCAGGCCAGTGGAATGCATGTATTATTGACTATGTAGATTAATTGTACTAAGGTAAAATCTAACTACGAAGTGGAAGTGATATATGCACAGTAGCTTAGAGCACGTGCCACAACTTCCAACAAAATGTTTATATAATAATCAAATTAATAGATTTATTAAAATATATATTAATTATATTTTGAAGATTGAATTCTTTATAGCTTTTAAAATTGTATATAAAAAATCAATTGTTTTTTAGAATATAAAATCAGAATTCTAAAGAATAGATTTAATCCTATTTAATTCTAAAACTATACTCTCAAAATTAGATATTTAAATTTATATACTTACCCCCCCCCCCTTTTTCAATTTAGATTAATAAATCTTTCAAACCCCTTGTAATTCAATTAAAGCTCTTTTTTAATTAATATTAATCAAATTTTAAATAACTTATTATCAAACAAGCTCCCCTATATTTATATTTGAGATTATATTAACTTTAATTAAGAATATAGAAAGATTAACTTATAAAAATCCACTTTTAAATATAAAGAATTATATATTTCGAATAGTAAATAAAGTATTAAATAAATATTGATACAAAAAAAAACCTAATTATATTAAGAAGGAATACTCATTGAATAAAAAGCTCTTGATATATTATATCAATAAAAGATTGATATTTAGATTTAATATAATGAGCATTAAAAAGAGAGTAAATTCAATAGAAAAGTATCTTCTATTCAATATTATAATAAATATAAAAAGATAGATTATAATATAAGAATTTATTAAAATAATATAATAGATTTTAGATTATTAGAATCTTTATAATTTCAATTAATTGATTCGATTATTATTGAATAATATAGTTTTGAAAGTATAAATTGAAATGAAAATAACCTATTTACTAATATGACCTACTCACTGATAAACCACATGTTACAACAAACATCACATGACACATTCGCGTATTACATGAGAAAGTCTTGAGGAGCTACAGGCTCCAGGAGCATACAGATCCCAAAGGCTTTAGATAACAAAAGTCTATATAACAAATGAGTTTTATTAGAATATAAAGCTTTATGTTCAAAAACAATTATTAGTTTTATTACTATAGTTATAAGAATTACAATTAATCATAACCTTATTGAATTCCTACTTGAAGTCTAGTTTAAACTATCTCGAGAGAACTCTAAACACTTCCACGTGACCCTAGAGGCAGCACCCGTAACACTACGTTATGAAAACAAAAATCTAAAAACTAAAAAGTTTATTCAAAAGTTAATTATAAAGACTCGTAATATATTATATTATTTTAAATCAACTATTAATTTATTAATATAATTTCAAATCGCTTTATATTTTAAAGAATAATTAAATCGATTAATATCTTTTAATTAATGAAAAGTTTTTTTACTTTGAAACTATATTAATAAAATTAAAATTTTATTTCTAATCGTTTTCGGCAAAAAGGTTGCAAGACCATAAATTCATGTTTTGAAAGCTATTTAAGACATTGAGTGTAACCTTATTGATGACCGCATCTGACACGCCCATCTGATAGTGTGTCGCTATTAGGCCCTGGGCCGCATGATCTCTCTGAGCTGAAGGGAGCCTCGTAACGCTTAATGCACTCTATGCCTGGGAGTCGTAACTTTTTCGATGTGGGCCTTGGTCCTTGGGCCCATTGTAGTATGGTGGGGAGCAAGTGATCTATCGTGTGCACGCTGTGAGATCGTGTTAGCTATACTGTAGAATAATTATTATAAAACCATTACTTATCTTCTCAAATGACGGTAAAGATTATACACGAGATTTTCAGTTCCAGGTTTATACTTTAGTTACATGATAGCTTTCTTCGTTCTCAATCAGGTGAGTAAAGAGAATTTGTAATGCGAATAAATAATAGATGAATAAATAAGCTAGCGGGAAGGATAGGCCACCCACAAATCGTACAGGGAACAAAATAGCAATGCGATGATATATGACTGTGATGGATAATGTTGTTTGAAGTCAAAAATCTCGATATATGAAGATTGAATGAATAATTGATATAAAATACTAATTAGCTTTATATATAAGCGAAATAATAAAATATAAGGGTTTTATTAATTATATTAATTTATTATAATACTGCTTTTAAAATTCTATTTTTAAATAATTCTATAAAGTACTTTTTAGAATTGTATAAGAAACCTCTATTTTATTAAACTTTTAAAGCTTTTATTTTGAAAAAATATAACATTCGAATTTATCAAAATAAAAGAAGTCAATTTATTATTATTTGGTTTATTATCAACCTCCTTAAATATTAAATCTATATTATTACTTTGAACATTTTATTATTTAAAGATAATTTGAGATTAAAGAGTAGAAGTATATGTTTTATATTATTCTAGAATATCTTATAGTAATATTCAAGCTTTTTATTTTAAATAGAATATAGATTTGATATATAAACAAATTAATCATGTTATTAAAATGTATACAACATTTTAAAAACGCTTTAGAAGATTCCTTCTTTCAAATATTTTTCAGATTAATGAGATTATTTGATTTATAAGTGAATTAAAGATAAATAGATGTATACTACATTGAAGAGTTATTAAAGCATTATTTTAAAAGAATATTAATGAATTTACTATTAGATTTATTCTATATAAAGTAGATTATTAATAATATATTGTTTTTCAAAAGCTTTCTATTTTAAAAAAGAATTAACAACTTCAACTTCAATTTATATTAGATTATCTTGATTAAACTAACAAACGATAAGATATTATTCTATAATCTAATGAAACTTGAGTTTTTATAGAAACATATAAAAAGACCTATATTATATATCGAAAAGATAAAGTTTTTAATTTTACATATATATTAGAAAGAAAACAAAAGAAAACTGAATGAATATTTTAAGAATACTTTTCAAGGAAATCAAATAAAGGACTAAGAGTATTTTAAAAAAAGAATTAAGGTTTTATTAATACTCAATCCTATTAAGCATATATAATACTCATTATTTATAATTAAATGAAATGAATTCAGGATATATATTTATATAGGACAGAGTATTAAAGTATATTATAAATACTATTATTCAAGATCTTCTTAAAAACCAAATATTAAATAAAAGATTAAATTTGGAATTATTATCCCATCAACAAAATGAACTATGATACACTTAGGAAAGTGGTAAAAAAGACTTGGAAGATTATACTAGAAGATTATTTAAAGGGATTGATTAGATTTATAAAAAAGTGTTATAAAGTAGTAGTTGTTGTAAATAATATGTATACTAAATTTTAATAATAATATTAATAACTTTGTATATTCAAATATACCTTTACAATACTTCTATCAGCTAAAGTTCATTATATTAATTTTTAAAGAGCATAATGTTTTTATTAAATAAAACCCCTATATATGAGGGAAACTACGGTCGCTTTTTGATGGGTTTTACATTACTTACTCATCCAACCTTCGTAGGTCAGCGTCCATGCATATAGGGCATGACCATGGACTTGACGTTACTAGGTCTTGGCGCTTTGATCAGTGCACTCTCAACCACCCACGTACTTCAAACACCGCGCCAACATAAATGAGCAGCATCTCTTCACTAAATACACCAACATGACGAGCACCGACAGATTAGCATCCGCGCAGAAGAGACAGCGCATAGCGACACCAATCCTTAAAAGCTCGCCTACCCCATCTCAATTGCGTTATGACTGAGTTAACTTTGAATAGAAGAAGGATGGTCTCAAGACGTCAGCAAAACAGAATCACAACGACAACTGAGAAGCTCAAGCGCTAAAGAGGTCCAGCAGCCTCGGAAGGATACTACGTCTCCCTTCCCACACAAGGAAAAGGCATCCGCACTTCATTTTGATTGTCGCACGTAGCTGATATATCCACAGAATTGCCCAACTCCTCCAAAGACTCGCAAGCGACCTCGGCAACCTGAAGTCGAGCGAGATACCGATTACAGACAAATTAAACGGCCTCGGAAACCTGATTGGCAACCGTCACCAGCACGGCAACCTACACACAAGAAGCGACGGCGAGAGACCTTAGATCCCGTTCATAAGAATTCGACAGACCTTTCTCGAAAGCGGGCATGGCCGTACTCTAGAAAAGCTGCCGTTGAGCCTTCAATTGGCGAAGGGGAAACTGATCCAGTCCTCCATTGGATAAAGACGCATAAGTGGCCCAACCGATACTCTGAACAGAGTGATGACAATATAAGCCATCTACTTGCTAAGCAAAAGTCTACAACCTCCTTACGTCGAAAGCGATCAGAATCATCCTCCTTCGTACCTCCCTCGGTCACACCAAGCTCGACTACTCCGAGCGATCAGAAGCCAAGAGAAGTCAAAAGTGCCCCTAACCAAGATGCACGCTATGAGACTTTACTCTCCACCAAAGGAAGCTTCATGGATGAGTCGGATTTAGGAATCACAAAGACAAGCCAGCATACATATCTGAATTTGCTTGATGCAGAACAGACAGTGCCCACTGATTCATTATTTCGCGATGATATATTCAAACGCACTTGTCGGGGTATCACGAACAGAAATGAGACAAGGATCATCCGGGATATCTCATTATTGATTGTGCCCTCCGCGGAAACCCTTGCGAAATACGGCACTGATTCTCTTAATATCTTAATTGAGAGCGTCAACGAAGGCTGGAACAATTCTGATCCTCTAACAAGCATACGCCCCCAGCCTGACTACTCTGTTGGATTCAGGCGTGAGGCGTTTACTAAAGAACAACTGAACAAGCTTACTCCTTACATTGGCAATTTCCTCAATGGGGACCACTCGCTGTTCATGGCCACGTACTATATGTACTTTCCGTTTCTCACATGCGAGGTGAAGTGTGGTTCCGCAGCGCTCGATGTTGCAGACCGACAGAATGCTCATAGCATGACTCTGGCAGTAAGAGGTATTGCAGAGCTCTTTAAATACGTTGGTCGCGAGATGGAGGTACACCGAGAAATCCTTGCCTTTTCAATCTCACATGATCACACTTCGGTTCGAATTTACGGTCATTATCCCGTTATTGAAAAGGGGAAGGATATCACTTTCTATCGCCATCCGATCCACAAGTTTGATTTTACAGCATTAAATGGGCGAGAGAAATGGACGACATATAAATTCACTAAGAACATCTATGATCTATGGATGCCGTCCCACTTCAAACGAATATGTTCTGCTATTGATGCGATACCGGCGGATCTGGATTTCAGTGTCCCTGCACTTTCCTCTCAGAGTTTTGGACTTTCAGGGAACCTCGAACGCTCTCATCTTTCAGAATTAACCGCGCTCGAACCTCAATCGAGGGAGCCCAGCCAGCAACGTGTTAGTGATATAGGAGATACTACTCCAAATACCTAATTTACTGGTATTAGTCACTAACTGCTGGCTGTAACAACATTAAACTCCCCTCCTTACTAACACTGACTTCCTTCCTTACTAGCAATAACTTCCCTCCCTATGTGAAATATATAATAGAGATACTACAGAATAAATAACTCAACGTAGTATAACTACGCTCAAAGTCTAGACTTACCTACTTGATAGATTCTCATCTCTTTTTTTCACCTTTTACTATGACAATTTCACATTCTATTGTTACTGTAATAGGTATAATTTCCAAAGTTCATACCCGGAATATCTAAGAATTATGCCTTCAGAAGAAACCACCCAAGCTCTTCCATTTGATCTTGATTCAATCTGCCTTACATCTCTGGAGAAAATTGGCGAAAGAATCTCTGGAGAGGCTCATCTCGTCAAGGCCTTTGGACGCGATGTCGCTGCGAAGACTATTCAGTCACCGAAACATGTGAGCGGTATTGACATGGAAGACATTGAGGAAACAATATCAAGCCTCTATCGAAAAATCACAGTGCTTCAGTACCTTGGCCGGCATCCTTACATTGTACAGCTCATTGCAGCCTATGAAAAACGCATCTGTTTAATTCCTCTTACCGTGCCGGTTCTTCTCTTTGAATACCGTTCTTTTGGTAAAGATGATAAGCGCCGTCTCCCATCTTCGCAAACCCTCTTTGAAAGTTCCTTTACATTGGTCTACATGTTCGAATCGTTCACTTTAGTATTTCTTTCTAAATACTTGTTACAATTCTATCTAAACTAAATCGTCTGAATATAGTATATCAAATCTGAAATCATTTTTATTATCGAAATCTTTTAAGTAATATTAGTTAAAAACGAAAGCGCGTCGCACACCTTGACAAATCCTGGAAAAGGCACACTCAGATAAACAGGGCTGGAGCATAAACTGTGATACCACTATGTTCTGTGATGTGCCTCGTTGTTACAGCTAATGCAACAACAATGGGGCACCACCAGTTGACGGAGGGAAATGAAGGCAATGACTGGACAATCATTGTCAGCTAGTATTTCTATATATCCTAACAGTCCTTCCAGACTATATGAAGATTTCGTTGTTGAAGCCTTATTAAGAAAATGCCTAATCATATTTTAAACCTTAGATTTGTGCTCGGCCGAATACCGTTTTACGAGATCCTAATAGTATTTCTCACAGTGGCGCTCATAGTCAATCGATATCTTGTATGGTCTCGTCTTCGCCATATTCCTGGACCACGATTGGCACCATTTTCAATTTATGGAAGCTCAAATCAGCATTATCCGGCAGAATGTCAGAAGCGTTGAATGATGTGTGCGAAACATATGGTTAGCATACCTTGATCTGACTCGAATGTGCCATGCTTATTCAGTCACAGGTTCATCGGCGCGTATTGGACCAAAAGATCTTATTTGTAGTGATCCTCATGTCATTCGACGTATGAGTACTGCAAAGTTAGGATATCTTCGATCGAAATTTTATAGTTCTTTCGCTTTCAACCCTGATCGAGATTCCATGATATCGACTACAGATGAGAAGGTTCATGCTGACTTGAAAATGAAGACTGCTGCGGGTGTAAGTATTCGTGTCAAAGAATCTGGTTATGGAAACTGTGTTGATTCATTTGATTAGTATTCGGGCAAAGGTTTTGAAAACCTTGAGCAATTAATCAATAGACAACTTGATGCATTCATTGATTTGATTGAGCAAAAATATCTTTCAACACCAACCGATTTCCGACCTTTTGACTTTGCTAAAAAGAGTCAATACTTCACATTGGACGCAATTACAGATGTAGCATTTGGAAAGCTATTTGGATGTATTGCTCAAGATGACGATATGTACGATTACATCAAAACAGTTGATCAACTACTACCCGCTGCAAAAATTGCAGGAGTCTTCTCGTAGTTGTTAAGTTTATCACGAAGTTTTATTCTCAAATCATTTCTACCTAGAGAATAAGCTAAGCTCGGTCTTGGAAAAATGATTCAGTATGGTTGTTACACCCACACAAGGAAAAAAGCTAACAACCAAAGAGTTGCAAAAGACATTGTTGCGAAGCGATTCGGAGAATCCAAAAGGGTCCAAAATGGAATGCTTGATTCTTTCATTGCCCACGGACTCACTCAGAAAGAAGGTAATTCCGAGACATTGCTTCAAGTGTTCGTTTCAACTATCTTCTCATTTTTCGGGCCTGGAAAGCTAATGCGACACAGAATCGCTGGTACGGATACGACTGCCACGGCAATTCGAGCCATGCTACTTTTTATTACAACTTCTCCAACTTGCCACACGGCCTTGCAAGCTGCTATGGACGAGGGCGTCAGAAATGGCAAAATATCTTCCCCGGTGACTGATACTGAAGCAAAAGCAATCCCTTACTTACAATCAGTTCTCAAGGAAGGTCTCTGAAAGTTTGCTGTAATTGCCGGTCTTCTACCAAAAACAGTACCTGAAGGCGGCGATATCATTAATGGCTTTATTGTCCCAGGTGAGACTGATATATCACTCAGTTCGATTACTATTACGAATTCGAAAGACACGTTTGGATCAGATGCAGATATTTTCAGGCCAGAAAGATGGCTCGAAGCTGACGACAATGAAAAACTAAGGAAAATGACTCTCGCAGCCGATTTAGTATTTGGATCTGGGACATGGTCTTGTTCCGGGAAGAACATAGCCATGATGGAGATGGGAAAGGTTCTTGTGGAAGTAAGTTTCTCTGACATTGGGAAATCTAACAAGCTGACACCAGAAAGTTATTGAGAAGATTTGATATATCCTTGGTGAATCCGACCAATCCGTGGAAATCGTTTAGTGCTGGAGCATACATAGAATCCGATCTATTCGTCCGGTTCGTCAAAAGAGCACATAGATAGATGAGACTAGAAACCTTGTGGATACTTCAGCGAGGTCCAAGATTCTAACTCAAGGTATCGTCGCAAATCTGACAAGGTTCACTTGGAAGCAATCATACATAAATATTGACATATTTATTTCTAGCAAGAAGTCTCTACATACCTAGGTACCAATTCACTTCTAAAGGATAGTCGAGACATCTGTTGTAGCGCGTGCTTGAGATTATGAAGTTGATTTTTATTTTTATTCTATCGATGACCGTACGAAGGTGAAGTCTTTCGAAATATCACATGACTGCACTTTTACCATTCTACATGTTTCGAATACATCAACAACTCAAATGACTAAATTACCACTCCTGTGATTCACAGCATGTGAATATGCGAGAATGATTCATAATACTCCATCAGTATTCTATTGTGTTAGTCACTTCGATGCAAAGCGAAACCGAATTTCTCTACCTGCAGCCGTACAAAGTAAACCTTCGAACCTCCTGGATAGATTTTTCCCATACCGAGTCTATCCATTTTATCCAACCGTACAAATTTTGCAACTCATGTTGGTTTTTGCGCTTTATTCTTCAATATCAGCATGGCATTTTTAAGTACTCACAAACAGCGCTCATTCTTCTCACCATGCAACAGTCTCCTAAATCCCCAAATGATTCCCTACACGATCAAAATCGCACCTCATCCTTCCACTCCCTCCTCAATTTCGCATCCTTAAGTCCTTTACGCACATTTTTAGCCCGCGCTCCCATTTCATCAAATAGCTCATCCGCCTCCTCAATCAGCACCCCAGCCCCTTGTATCCCTCAAATTCACCCTGGCGAGTACGAGACCTACAAATCCGTCAATAAACTCCTTTCAACATTTAAATCTCGTTCCATTGCTAAAGCCCGTCGGGCAAATGCCAAAGCCAAAGCACAGTTTCCTCATAATGAAGAGGAAGATACATATCGTAGTATCCACTGCGGCGATCAAAATTGTTGTTTTTCCTCGCCCTATTCATTTTATCGCACGCGTTCAAGCTTATCTTCATCTATTGCGCGATCTAAAAATCACCGATCACAATCTCGATCTCGATCCGTTTCGAATCCAAATTTACCGCTCGCGAGTTTGAAAGGCGATGAGAAGTCTCCATCCCCGCCGGTTTCATCATTATCCTTACATCCATCTCGCAGATCCCTTACTATTACTGGAAGTTCGAAACGGTCGGCTTCGCTTTTTTCGGGAAGTCCACCGCCATCGGGAAAATCGCTACGGCCTTTGTATGAATACCCTGAGCCGGTTGGATCGAGAAGTTCTAGTTGGTTGGATGGACAACTAGGTATGGAGATTGAAAGATCGAAGAGCGTGAGTTGGGCTCCAGATACGCCGGTCAATCGTCGAAGAAGCGACAGTCAGCATTATCGACCGAGTAGTTTATCTCTATTTTCATGGACGTCAGAGGACATCGAATTAGGCTTAATGAAAGAAAACATACCAGTGAAAGAGATAAGAGAAACAGAGATTGCTTATGAATGGGATGGAGCTTTTGGATGGACACAAGCTTGTAAGGAATGTGGGAGAGAAAGATGTGTCAAGTGCTCAGGGATTGTGATTGAACAAATTGTTGAGGAGGGAGAGACCGTCACTGGGAAGGAAGGGATGTTTAATATTTGTACGCCGTGTGTACATGGATTTTGTCCAGGGACAAAGATTTGGTTGAGAATTAGATGTAAGAAGTGTGGAGAAGTGGGATGTTTAGGGTGTAATAAGGTATTTGCGATGGAGGATTAGGGTGGTTGGAACATATCAATAATGAAAATGGAAATGAGTGGGTCGGACGAATGGTACTCAATAATCCAAAATACAATGCATTGATAAATCTTTCTGCTATTGTAATTAGACACTTGTGTATTTCCATTAGGTATTCTGTAGATCTGCGGACACGAAAATTTGAAATATTTGAAACTTTGCAATACAAAAATCTATGAATCCAGAGATCTTTATACAAAGCTCAAAGGATCAGTGAAATGACCATTCGAAGCAATTCAAACATTCTAATCATCAACTGTGATTGGAGGATGAGATACTCTAACCAGAACAAGGCTATGCTGGGCTTCCAACGTCATTGAAAGACACTCGATCGACTATTGAGTAGTATATTGATAAAACAGAATGAAATTCAGAGCAGGAACCGTGTCAATTTTTTGAATGAAAATCTTTGGAGGGCAGGTTCTAGCCATGCCGATGACCATCTACCGTTCTCTGCATATCTTTTCGTGCCCCCTGTCTCTCTGATCAATGATTCTTGAACTTAAAAAAAAAAACGGCTTCAGACTCATTCATGATAGAATTTTACAGATACCCACACTAGGGGGCGAAAAGCAAGAAATGAATGCACATAAGGGCAGCCATAATCATACTTCAACAATAAGGTCTTCATATATCGGCTTGCTTGCTTGAACAAGCTATGTAGATTGCAGTATCGTATTTCCGCGAAAGAAAAAGGGATCAGGTGATAGACGTGATTTTTATGACAAGCACGACTACTTTCTGATTCTTAATCAAAACAAGAACACCAATTCTGTTCCTTTAGTGTTCATGTAACTTATCGCTCTCGCTCGCCACATATCGCACGTGGACCACGAATTTATCCTCGAGGCCACCCTCAAGTACAGCATTTTACTAACCACATGACACATGCCAGAATGGAATGGGGGATCAACAGACGACCAGCTATGCAACCTAGGACTGGACCGGTCAGGCACATGTATGAGGATTGTTACCTTTTTACTCTGTAGAGATCTAACAACAGGCTCTTAGGGAATCTGTGAGCATCCCTTGAGGTTGGAGTCTGAGATGGTAGGTCCAGGGTAATGGATGAAATATGGGTAGAGGTCTAACTCTGATGGAAGATGGAAGAGTCAACCGTCTTTTTCCGTTTCAATCAAAAGATGCTTTGAGGTATGAGTTGAGTTTACTGTGACAACTGGGCGAACTGAATCGATAACCGCATTGCTTCAGAAATCTTGCAAACGAGGATGTAATTCTCGATTCAGACCGTAGCCTGAGTTTGAGAAATGGGAAGATGTAAAATAATTATGACAAAAGGGCAATATCATGGCCCAGCTGCAACAAACATTTCAATACAATTTCCAGTAATTGAAAAGGTTCGACTTGCTAGCTTTGCATCTCTGATGTCGTGAGTTTTTGCCATCTTTCGCGACCGGCCCTTGCGGTACATAGGATGACGCGCAGATGATGCTTGTTCTACATCTTGTATGCATACCAGGTATAACAAGAGGTGTATGCTGAGTATGAAAATGGGGAAAAAGAGTGTCTAAACAATTCAACAGCGAAGATTAACCCAAAATACTAAGGCCAGGCCAAGAATGTTCTTACCACGTAAAGATGTTAAGTTATCGGATAAACCCCAGATCAAAGTCAAAAGTCCAAAGAAAATAATCCGTGCGCTGGATTGACACGTGATCCAATCCTCAGGTTCATAGATTTCCCCCAGATTGTTGTTGAATCAACGACAAACATCAAACCATGACAGCTTTATGAATACTTAACAACTCTCTTTGGCCTCTTCTTCTCTTTCATCTGTATCTCATGGCTTCACAGGTAAGTCTCTCATCATTAACGTGGGGCTGCTACGAAAGTAACCATCACATGGCGAAATCATGGTCCCTCATGGTAGTGAGAGTTCCTACACAATCTCCATATATCTCTTTCACCACCATCTTCATCTATCTTTTGTACATCTATGTATGATAATTATCACATTCTCTATCATTCTAGTAAGTTTAAAAGCTACCCAGTCAAGTATTGCTGTTGCTTTTCCACTTCTTCTCTCCTCTTTGAACTCTCATCTTTCCAGATTCACACAAGCCTCGCTTCGGCTACCAGTCATCATCAAGGATTCCAATCAAGTAAAGAACGGCTACATACCTTCTATCTTATTACTGTCACTTTTCAAATCAACGCGCCTTCTTTCTGTCAAACATCAACATACAAACTCATAATTCAAAAAACATCAAAACTTACATCTCACACATCAACTTCTACCTCAACATTTAGGTTTATTCTCAATATTTTACAATGGCCGGCGGAAAAGGAAAATCTTCCGGTGGAAAGTCATCTGCTGGAGGCAAGGTTGGCGCAGATGGAAACAAGAAGCAACAAAGTCATTCAAGTAAAGCCGGTCTTCAGGTTAGTATTGCGCAAACTTTGTATTTCTTTTTTCTTTGCTTCTATGAAATGTTGTGGTTCGATTCGGAGGGGGACGGAAACTACGATTTTTACAATAGCTACACCCCACCAAGTCGCGTCAACTTTCGATCTGCGAACAATCCCTTGGAACAATTACAGACCGTCGCGATACACATTAAACTCGATGACCACGAACTCCTTTCCATGACTCAACTATTTGTCCAAAGCCTCGTCGAGGAGGTCTTTTCGACGCGCACCGAATATCAACAAGATGTGCATACGCGAGATAAATTTTCTCATCCTAGGAAAACCTCGATTTCGGAATACCTCTTTCTTTGCTTCGAATTGCGCAACAATTGTTAGATTTATTATATGCTGACAAATTTTGAATGCAGTTTCCTTGCGGTCGTGTCAAGCGTTTCTTGAAGAACAACACCCAGAACAAGATGCGCGTGGGAGCAAAGGCAGCAGTTTATGTTACAGCGGTCTTAGAATACCTAACTGCTGAAGTACTTGAGCTCGCAGGAGTAAGCTACATCTATACCCCACGACTGCATAAAAAAAGCATCCACTGATCAATTTAGAACGCTGCCAAGGATCTTAAAGTCAAGCGTATCACACCCCGCCATCTACAACTTGCCATTCGCGGTGACGAAGAACTCGATACACTCATTCGCGCGACTATCGCTTTCGGAGGTGTGCTACCACACATAAACCGCGCGTTACTTTTGAAGGTAGAACAGAAGAAGAAGAAGACTATCGAGTCCGCATGATTATCGCAAACAAACACGTCTACGATTGATTTTACGCACTCCGATTTTTTTGCGCTATTTCCTTCTTCTCTTTCTAAGGGTTCAGAGTTTGATGGTGTCTTGGGGATATCTTCTTTTTGCTTGGTTTCATAATGGAATTGATTACTTATCATGGATCGGACTATGAGATAGGATTATAAAAGGCTACATGCGTTGATCCATGAATGAGGCACAATTCGGTACGACTTCTCTCCGGATTGTTGTGGACCTCAAGCCGATGTACTATTATCGATTTTGAATGAGATCGGATATTACTTCAACTTCACAATAGTAAATGTGATGTCCAAAATGATTATGCGGTACCTTGGATACCAACCCAATGCTAAATGTTATACATTCCGGCAATTCGCAATCTCCACTTCCTCGAAGAACCTCCCAGTTGCAGGTCTATCAAATTACTCGAATCAAACCCATGTGGACCATTATCGAATATGCTTCCTCCTCTGTTCATCCCAGGGAGTGACCTCATCAAGATCATCCTCATCATCACTATCCTCTACTGTATAAAGCATCTTCAACGGACTACTAGGTGGACTTTCAATCTCTACACTAGCTCTCCGACTTTTGCTTCCTTCTCCTTCTCTCACCCTGAGCCCCCCCAAATCTCCATCCACCACCTCTCCTACCATCTTTCCATACTGCACCTCTGATAACCTCAATCCCGTGAGCTGTTCAATCTTCGCTATACTTTTCCGTTTCTTCACCCGTATGAATTCCCTTACATATCCCTTTTCATCCTCTTCCGTTTCTTCTTCTCCTGCTAGATCGTCTAGTTCTGGAGGATACGGGACTCCCAAGCCATCTTTCGATTCCTGTCTTTCATTTTCACGTTCTTTTCCTTTCGGACTCGTAGATCCACTGCCGCCATAATATATATCTGCAAAGGCGGTATGACTTGTTAGAGGGCTAACAATAAATTGCGCCTCGTGTTCTAATCCGCGTTTCTCCGCTTCCAAATTCCTGCGTCGTTCGCGCTCAACAGTTAAACTTAAATCGGGAGAGGTGATATCGGGCGTCAGATTTGAGGAACTATGGAATTCGCCATGAGCACGAGTAGCTGGTGGTGTAGTAGCTGCTATATCAAAAATCAACTGTTGATCTTCTCGTTCATCATCTATGCGCTGACGTTCCTCGGCACTAATGGGAGAAATGGGGAAAATTAGCTCCGGCTCGCTTGTTTGTCGCGTTTTGGGAGTTACTGCCGATCGTAAGTGTAGAGTTTGACATTCTGAGGGGAAATCGCAGTCGCGGTAACAATCTTTGCCTATTTTTAATGGAGGGATGAAGAGTGGGTTGTTCAGAGAACGAGATTCGGTTTTCAGGAGAGAGATTTCTCGTCGCCAGTGGTTGTAATGTTCCCAACCTGTGTAGTCAAATTCGGCGCGACAGCCACGGGGTTGGCGACGACGTTTCTTCTTCTTTTTGGGGGGGACCAGGGAGGGAAGGGAGCCAGTGGAGGGCGATGGAGACACGGGAGACACGGGAGAGGCAGTTTGTGGGGATGGGGGTGGAGTGGGCATAGAACAGAAGTAGTGGCCGTCTTCGACTATAGAGTTCGCTATTAGTAAATGCCATGCATGAGGGGAAATGAGGAGATCTTACGGCAACGACGAGTGACACCAAGACGATAGACGGAGTGACATATGTGACAGCGCCAAATCCATGGGTATGGTATAGGAGGTGGGGGTTTGTGAAGATGTGGCGAGATGGGTGGGCTGGGTAGCAGGCTGCGTTGGTGGAGTCGTCGGGGTGGGGTTAAGGGGGAAAGGGGTGAGGGATGGGATGTTGCATGTTTGAGAAGAGAAGGATAGCTGGGTACAGTTATGTATTGTGGTCGGCGATCCATCATACCTTATTATGGTATCGTCGTTGCAGTGGTTGATCAATGATAACTTGTTGATGCGCAAATCTCTTGAGAAATGGGATAGAATAGGTGTTGATGTCCGACGGGATATTTCTTTGTTCGTTACTGGGAAACTATTTCAACAATGTACTCGCTCTTGTGTATTGAAAAAAACTCATCCAACGCCAGCGCGATTTTGCCGATGTCAAGAAGTCAAGAAGTAAATGACGAAGCTTTAAGGATTCCAAGTATGATTTCGATGTTCTTCTCACGAAACTTTCCAGGCCTTCAGTCACACATTCCGTGGCTGTGGCGGCAATTATTTGAAAGTAGACTCGTATTTGAATAACCTGAGGCTCCAGCCACAATGTCAATAGCAAGGTTCAAAAAGGACAATCCACTCAAATGGTGATCCTACTTTGCTAATCAAAAATATGAGATGGAATGACAAGAGAATTGAGAAAAAAAAACAAGCAATCGAATAAGAAACGAAAACCTCTATAGATGAGCAATTAAAGATTTACTTTCTTAAATTGTCTCATTCTCAGCTATTTTGTTAGGTTCACCATCTGCTGTTGAGACGTCTTTGTTTGGGAGGCGTGATCTTTCTTTCACAGAATTATTCCGTCTAACTAGATTAGAGGCGTGTGTAATGTATCATTGATAGATAAGCAACAAAGGAATAAATAGTATTGTAATGAGAATGATTTGAAATGACGTTTCAAAATCATATGAAAGTTGTCAATTTATTGAGACTTCCGATCGACAACCCATCGGCTGTTACGCGATATGTAAGATGGTTTAAGCGCTGCCAATTGCGATGGATAGTTGTTATGTGGGTTAAACTAGACTTTTCGGGCAACTGTCTTCTGAACTATATTTCTGGTGGCTCGATATTCAAATTCACGTGTTTGAACATTGGTGTTGAGTTTCCGACATTCAAAGTCCCTAGATACAAAATAGATGTAGACTCCCTAATCTGGTTTGAGTTTCAAGATTCTGCGATCCTATTGGGTCGCTTTCTGGTTGTTGGTGGTCAACCGCCAAGTGTCGGGTGGCCGATAGTTCTCAGCCAGCACCCTTCAAGGTTACGGCGAGTGTTGAGAAATCACGCATCCCGGAAATACAACATCGGGGTTGACATGGCCTTGACGTCGATATTCTCGATAAATAGGTGCTTTATCACTATGATCGACATGTCAGTACGAGTTCTTAAACACTGCACATGATCTATCGTGTGCTATAGATTGATCAATGTCGGTGTTTCGAAGGTATAATCTGTGTGATGTATGATAGGGGAAGTCGTGTCTTCCTATGCGTTCTTTCTCAGTCCATGAACGAACCATCTATGTGTAGGCTATGGGCTTTACCGTTTTGTGATGAACAAAGTCATCAAGCATTAAAGCCTTAGAAGTGTAATTTCTCCAGCGCTGCAAATCTCGGTTTCTAAAAACCTAAAAGAAGTTCCAGCGTATGAGGGTCACTCTCCAGCCATATTGCTGAATTCATTTCAGTAATTATACCACCAACGAGTGATAGCTTAGGATAGATTTGAGAGATATAGCAAGGGTTCCTACAGATATGTCGTGCTTGAAAACTTTCATGTGGGTTATAAATGGACATGCGAGTCAAGAAAATAGCATTTCCATGTGTTTGCGATCTCCAGAGGTATAGTTTGACAGGTTGGAACTAAATATACGATTTTCGAGATCAATGTAGACTCTTAGAATTCGGATATTTAAGGCTGAGCAGTTCCTGAAGTGACGTTGTGGTTGGCACAAGGAGTTCATGGACGCATTTGAGGCATGAACCATTCGTTGAAGCACTTTCAGAAATGATGAATCGACATCATTCTGTTTGCATATCCAAGTAATCGATGTTTGAATCGTCAAAATCATGTAGTTTCGAGAATCCAATCTTTCAGTGAAATCGGAATGTGAGTGATAGTATGAGAACACTAGTAAAGGATAATGTATATTTCAACATTTGGGTTGATAAAAGACCTGCTGGACCATCCAACTTGATTACAAGCCAAGTTAATGATTACATAATATTACCACGTGATGCGTAGCAATAGTTCAATCATGATTCTCGATTTCTCATGACGCGGGTACATCACCCTCGTCAATATTTTTATCATTCATCAATTATCAATTGAGTCTTATCGTCTTCAAAACCTAATTGGCGAATTGAGGCTCATGTTATAATCATCAACAGTCTTCGAAATCTTATCTTCCAATATATATTCAAATTCGGAGACACGACCTCGTCTGCCGGACAAAACAGAAAGAGACTGGATGATCTATAACAATGAGGCCGATCGTCCCATAACGATATGCTGAGATGTCTCGTTGCAAGCAGCAGTCATGCAGGCTTATATTCACCCTTGTTACATTTACGTACGTATCCCCTTGCTTGTCAGAGTAGCATTAGTTGAGATGTCTATGACTAGCTTTTACTGATAGCTCATATTTACAAGGTACTTGATTGTTTCGTATGAGGCCATATACAGTAAACAGGCATCATTCAATCTGTATGGCTGCGGTACTATCATACTCCTGTGCGGCCCTGCATCCAAATTTCACCGTGATTGGGATACACCACGTCTGCCAATGACTCTAAGTGCGGGGATCCGTGAGTTCTGGTGTGTAGTCACCGCATACTGAAGCCACTTGAAGATCTGAATTCCAGGACTTTCATATGGAGTATTTTAGGATATACTGGATTGATTTGGTCTTGTCCTCACAAAGCCCCACCTTTTTCAGATCAATGGATACACATTGGAACGGCGATGTCTTTATGCATTATCTAGATACTTTCTACAGTTCATTACGCTACTCGATCATCCATTCCTGCTGTAGGAACACGATCGATATTAAGATATTGCCGCATCTAGCCCTGCGCCAGCTTTATGACGATTCTGATTTGATACCAACTCTCCATGCTGAATCGAAGGAGTGTTCCCTGTTTCTCCCAATATTGTTAATATCATGAACCTGAAAAGACGAATCTGTCGATACGCTCGGTGTTCTGAAAGTCTCAGGCGGGGTATTGCGTTCATGGATTTGAATCCATTCGCCGCTCTCATAGGTAGAGAAAGTCCTATATCCAAGCCACGCTCTTCTTCCATTATAACCTTCAAATTCGAATTTCATATCGATGTTTCGTAGACGATTTGACTCTGGGACTATTGCTATCATTTCGCCCAGTCCACTTTCCTCAATTTCTCGGATTCTCTCGGCCACTTTTGCAGTCAACAAACTGTTCCAGAGACCTTCCTGCCTATCAGCCTGGTTTAGTAACAGGATAGCTTTGTTTCTTATCCGTCTATGTCGACATTTCGTGGCTACTAGGAACAAGGGCTGTATTATTTCGTTGTCTAGTGTGAAACTCGCGGCTTTACGACAACTCATCTGAATATTTGGAGGGTGGATAATCTCGGATGCCCAATTTACCATTGCCTCGAATTCCAAATGAAAATCATCCCAAAGTAGCTCACTCGATTCGTTAAACTTTGCAGAATGTGTTGTGGAGGTCGTGACCAATACTTGAGTCATAGTTTTGTGCAGGCGGAGAAGGTCCCTCGCCCTCATTTCCATTGAATTGACTTTCTCAATATCACCTCGCTCGGTTGACGTGCTTGAAAATGATTCAAACGCTCGGTTCCAATTCTCGAGATGAGCCAACAACTGAAATTTGGTTTCCTGGCTGGTAGAGAGAGGAAGGGGGACGCCATTATACATGGAACAAGATAAGAGATTTCTAGCGCTATATGTCCAGATTGATTCCATTGCCTCTCGCGCTTGTTCAATGTTCAGAAACCTGTCCGGAATAGAATTCGGTGAAGAGCCAGATTCGCCGTCAATTATGCGTGCCCTGGAAGTTAAAACCGAGGCTTGTGTATCTAATCTGCCGAATAGCATACGGAATATTGAGACGGGAGTGTAGTCCTCAGGCAAATCATGTGAAGCAGGAGTCGAGTGTCCGGAGACTTGTAGCTCTGAAAATATCTTTACTCCGCCGTCGATATGCGCCAGAGCAGAGTCGTGATGCCCTCTTAAGGTCTTCATATGCATCATAAGTTGGGATTCAAAAATTCAAACGAATCGACGGAAATCACAAAGACACTTACCTCGAAGCATATAAATAGTATGCAGGTTGTTAACGCAACGTTTGCCGACTTACATGTATGCTTGGACATGTTCGGTTGCACCAGACAGTTTATTGCCTTCACATATTGACGCACGGCAAAGGAGTTCTCCTCAGCATCTTCCCTTACTTTGGAGATAAATCCATCTTCCAACTCAAACCTCTCATGCAGAGACCCGAGCGCAATAGCTGCATGTCGTACAGCCGGCTCACGATGTGAGGCTTGCAGAACGAAACAATTCCAAAACTTCGAGTCAAAACAACCGCTTAGCTGAGGCGCAGTTTGTTTGTGGAAAAAGTGGAAAGAATGCTGTTCCTGGTCACTGACAGCTAGCGATGGAGACAAGAAGTCGGGAATTATTGTAGGTAGTTGATATATGGCGCATCTGGAAGATTTTGGGACGACTGAAGACGAAATCGCACTAGGCTTGGGGTTTGGACTAGGCGTGCAATGAGCATAGCCGTCACATTGACGTCCTGTTGCGGCACATTTCCTACATCCGGGTCTCCCTTCGTCGCATTTTACATGGCGAACCCTACAAGACGGATGTCAGTTGACAGGTTCGCGCACAAAATCCGGCTTCAACGGTGTTGTTCAAAAGAAATTCGGAAAATAGACGGCTCTACCATTGATGATGTATCATTAAGTGAGAACCTAACTATAAAAAAAAGTATTTTGGCATCTCCAGAATTGATCGATATCAAGAAAGTAGAATGTGAAATATGGACTCACTTGCAAGTTTTGCAACCCGTCTTGGCTCTTGTACTGAATGCTCGAGAGCGTTTAGGAACTTCCTTCTGTATAACTTGCTTTGTCGAAGCTCCAACCATGTTGAAAGAGCGTAGCGGATGTTGATGACTAGATAATTGAGATGATTCTTTATACACTTTCACAATTCTCACACATTCATGTGTTACGGTAAAGGATTTATATTCAACCAACCAGTCCTGATAATGGTTTGATATGAAGGATTTCGATGATAGTGTGCTGGCTGGCTAGGCTTATGAGCAAAATGGGAGATGGACTTTCCCGCAGACAATTGATTCAGCGATTCATATACTATTTACCTTATGCTTAAATGTGGCCAGGTCAAGCTATAAATGATCCACTCGATTCATTTACTGACCGGTCGCCCTATATGACTATGACCGGATGGCGAAGTATCCATAAGCCAGATTTTTTGGAATTTAAGATCATAGTATTGGACTCCATACTGCGCTGGTCTTGGAGATACCGGGATTACTGGACGCATAAGGAACAGGCATTCTTGACAAGCATAGCAGGGTCCACCACCCCTCGCCGTCTCCGTGGAAGATGAGCGAGCTGGCCAATCAGATTCACAGTGAGCTAACCCAAGAACCAAACTTCATAATTACTGGGAGAAGCTTAGGGTTTTGAGAAACAATAAAGATTGAAAATTGTAAGATATCAACGGACCATTTTGGTGAACGGAACTTGCCTCCTTCATTTGAATTCCCGACTAACATAAGTAGCGAGATTCTTCAAACGTTCCCTTTGCCGCTATACTTACTATCACTAAACTGTATTTCTACTTAATGTAGAAACCTATCCGAGATGCAGGGCAACACGCATACAATAATCGGATTATATTTGTCTCCATCTTTCCGGGCTATACTATCACGTCTTTCTCTAGCCCCTTGATTTCCGCCAATCAATTTACAACGTCAACTCCAAAGCCAATGAAATGCGTCATACACATGGAGTATTGTTAAGCCGTATTACAACCCATTTTTGGATGACCTAAGAATGGATATATGAACGCTTTACTTCGGATTGATATTGTTGTTCTTCCTGCAACTCATTAGCTATGTCAGCCACATGATGACGGCTCGGATCATCTGCGAACGTTGAATCGCCTCCTGAAGTTTACTCCAAGAACGATATCCACAAATCCGTCCAACCATTCCAAAGATGAATGAACTTTGAACCCAGGGTTTTGCACCTAGCTATTTATCTGACTGATGGCCAAGGCTCAGATCCACAAACCTCACGTACTTGTGCCAGAATCTGTTTATCTTATCGCTAGGCGCCCCATCAAAACTAAATTTGGTTCGAATTGACAGGCGCCATGATATCGACACTTTGGGAGTTTATTAGCGGTAGCAAAAAGCTTAATTGGGATAAATGCACAATACAGTAAGCAATGGTCACAATTGGCTAAAGATGTACAAGAAAATGTCGGGTGTAACCAACCATCACTTTGTATATCATCCAAAATAATTCTCTCGCTTCACATTACTGGTATGAGCTTTGTATACCTTGCTCCTCCCTACACTAACATTCGGGACAAGATAGATCAATCGAAAGTCCACGAATAGTCCGAGGCTCAGCATAATGCAGAATTTATAGAAGTCTAGCTTAATCTTTTTAAATCACAAAGAAAATAAAGATGATTTTGTGGATGGGGTATACAATCGCCGTCAAGAAGAGCTCTTGGTGGCTCTTACAGTCTTTCGAGAACCAGCAACTTATTGTTTTACCATATCGATGAGCCTGGCCTCTATCTCAGTTCAACCGCCACTTACGCAGAATCGTCATAGGTTCCTGACGTCGCAAATTCATGGTAACACAGTGCAAGATGTTTAGCCACGCAGTAAGCACTGTATTTTCTGGGGCGTACACGTTGACATCGCCAAGTATTTCCCATAAGGAGTAAACATCCACTGCTGATATCTATTTGATCATTTCTAGTACAATGATTTAATTATGACTGAACGTTCGTCACCATTGAAGCATTTACCAGAGTCATATACATGCAACACAGGGCCAAATTCGTTTAATATCTTGGCATAATCCTCTAAATTTCGTTGCAAATAGTGTTGCACGATTTGAATCGCAAGCGGGAACCACAAGCGATTGAAGATGATTCCCAACCGCCATTATCCCCCATGTTACACAATTAAATGCGGGGGAACTAATTAATTAACATTTCATTGACTTTTGGGTGTTCAGCCACCGTGATATCTTCCGGGAATCAAATACGAGGCATGGGGTATTAAGGTTAATCATAAAATTCTGGCAATATGCTTGAAACGACAATTTTGTTGAAAACCACTTCTATATTTGTCCAGACCTTATCAATTACCTTGCAGAAACTGGTTTCATTCGGAACATTCAAATCTACATCAATTCGTGGATCTTGACATTGGTAAAGGAGCTTGCCATGTCAGATCAAGTCAGCAATACAGGTTGTGGATCTACGTATGTACGAGAGATATGACAGTGCGAAGCTTGTAAGCCCCCGTAAGGAGCCTGCGAATTATTTGTTCAAAATACGATATCCCAATTGGGAGAGCACGAGAACTCGCCTCAGATTCACAGAAGTTCATGATGAAAGGATAATAAATTGAATCCTATATATCATTAACCTACTCTTCGTTCTCTAAACTTCTAGAAAGATGGCTCGAATTATTGGTCCGCAAAGTTACACATAATCCTGTCATTCGATAACTTTGATATTTAGTTAAATTCTTTGCCTCCGCAATGACTGAGAGATCCGCCGGTCCAAATTTGGATATCTTAGGTCGGTGCCTAGTCCTGATGCATTCAAATTTCCACAAGTCAACCTCACAGTAATGAAATCGAGCAGAGCACGACGAAAGATGACAGATATTTCATCTTTAAAATCCCACGCTTTTATCTCGTTGACACCTTTAACTATCCGGATTCAGGTCCTGGCTCTAGTCCACATCTTCACATCGGCGAATATCGCAACAGCCTCTTAGAATTTGATGAGCTACATACGTGCTGATTTCCTACGAGAACTTCGCCGTATCAGCTGTATACATAATCTCCTGGGTTGAGACGGCGATGGAAAGGCAGATTCGAGTAGATTGATGACATGCTGATGTTCATTCGCGTACTTAATCTTCTTTGGGAAGTACCGTTCATACCAATTATATGAATTCTTTACGAATAGCTGTTTGAAATCGATGTTTGCATCTACTTCTGGTATTTCCATGGAGAAACAGACAGAGGCGACATAAACATCGTGGGATTGGAAATATGATGGGCATGAGTATCATGAGTGATTAAGGTCGCTACGATATCATATCGTCATCGTGAACACCAGATCATTTTCCATACTCCTCGACGATCTAGTAGTCGTCAAAAAATCCTCCATTTTCATCTGATTTTTTGATCAACGAAGAGATGACGATGTCAAGATAAAGAGAGTAGAAGCCAATGATCAAATCAAACCATCAACCGCGCTTACAGCTTCACTAATCAATACTCTTTGGTCAGGAAAGAAGCAATACTGTGTCTTCTCCAAGAAAAAATACCCTCATTTACAGTGTATCAATTCTTCACGAATCTACAGATCTTGGCATTCCGGTCCCTCGAATCACCGATTCTTAAAGATATCTATCTAAGGTGGCCATCATTTACATTCTTGACGAATCATTACGAATATTCAACGCGGTGGAATCACTTAGAACTGCAAATGTGTTCTGTTATGTCACTAGTTCCTACTCACCTAGGTACTTTTAACAACTCACCAAACAAACCTCGACATATGCTACTCGAGTAGACAGACACAACAAGAATATCTCTATGAAATCTCAAAATAACTTTCGACACGACTAATCATCCATTCCACCAAAAAGCGAGATCGGGTCTCTCATCAAGAAGAAGCAATCAAGAACAATACTCCGCTTGCTTGATTGCTTCCTTCCTTCCTTCCCCTCATCTATTTGTTCCCTAAAAAGATCAATCAGACCTACATCTCTTTCGCAAACACAGCCTCTCTTCTTCTCCTCAACCGAGCTTTGAAGCAATACTCGACTGTGATGGTTAACAATACACATGTGTAACTACACGTATATACCGACATCTCTACGCGAACATCCAAGAACTACATCCAAGACCACAAATCACAAACCCAAATCATCGACATCCAACCACCAAATTTTTATCCCTCAAAACTCCACACCTCAGACCTCGTGCTACCCCCCCTCTCTCTCTCTCAAATCTCAGATTAGCAATTGTCTAAAGACTCATGTACTCATATGACTGACTACTTTTATTTGTCTATCATCCATCCATCCATCCATCCGTCCATCCATCCATCAGTATACACACATCCCTTCGTCCCTCCGTCCTCCCCATCTCAAAGTAAGTATGTACCTTTTAATTTCATTTCCCGTCTCTTCCCTCCTCCCTCCTACTCCCCGAAAAAACGGATGGGGCAAAGGGGGGTGGGGAATAATTAACTAATCTCATCCCTAAATATCACAATACATCATCATTATCATCATCATCATCATCACTCTTTCGCTATTCCAGTTCTTCAATCTACGCATAAGTAGATCTAAAAATTGATCTTAATCTCAATTGGTATTTTCTACTCTTCTCTTATACTGTTTTTTGTACTCTTCTCTTATACTGTTTTTTACTGTTCCGTTGTACCATTCTCTTGAATATTGATCTTTAATATTTGATCTCCGATACTAGTATTTCATACTATTCTGTTTACTATTGATCTTCAATATCAATCAACATAGGTAGGTGTAAACAATCGCACTCACTCAAGTGCTTACTTCCTTTCTTACTAGGTAAGCAACCTCCACACCGCAACCCCTCCACCTGCCACGAAAGAAAGGACAAGCAAGAGACGAACGATCAATCAGCAAAAAGATCTGAAGATTCCTTTTTTTTTTTAAAAAAAAGTAAACGGTAAAATAGCAAAAATGTGAAACGCCATGCATGCATGCGCTATGCCTGCCCCTGCTCCATCTCTCCCTGACGGAAAAGAAAGGAAAGAAACTGCCCATCTGCCCCAAAATCACCGTCACCATCAGCATACCAT